AGAGAGAGAGAGAGAGAGAGAGAGAGGTCCAGTTCTCGCCGGCTCTTGCAGGTAAGCAACCTCTTATTCATCTGAACTGCCTCCGACCCATCTACCTGTGTGTAACAATAGATGCTGCTGTTCTTCGATGAGGCTAATGTCGATGTGATTTGTTATCACAGCTGAATGTAAGCATATGTATGTTGAGTTGTTATGATGGTGGAATGTGTGTGCTCTTCTGTGTGGTTTGGTTCTCTTGTTATGATGGCTCAGTGTGTGCTCCTCCATGGGGTCTGGTTTTCTTGCACCATCTCTTTCAGGTAAAATCCATTATTTTTGACAAGACAGGAACGCTGACGGAAGGTCACCCAATGGTGACCAGCGTCAGAGTGTTTGGTGACATAAATGGCTCAGAGTTCCTTAAACTGGTCGCGTCTGCAGAGGTATGCACTATGTGTTTGTATATACACGAAGTTCACTCTTTTAGTTGGGGTATATGTTTTATGAAACAATGTATTGGTGTGATTGCATGCCATCTAGCATGCTCAAAGGTCTCAATTTCCCTTCATCCACACGGCATGTCATTTCTTTTGCCTTCTTTGTGCCCTCTTCCTACCTTCTTCACCCGAATACAACGTACGGTCATTATAGATGTATTTCGCGTATCTTTCCGGTTAAATACAGCCAGAATGACCGTACGTTGTATTCGGGTGAAGAAGGTAGTGTGGTTAGGATAAAACCGTGCTCTCATCTGACATCCGTGCTCTCAGAACTCTCGGAAAATGTTTTTGTCCCTTTTCTTTCGTTTTTCCCCTTTGCAAGGTTGCTTGCTTCTCTTCCACAGACCTCCCTTTGTTTTTGTTTTTGTTTTTGTTTTTGTTTTTGTTTTTCTTTTTGTTTTTGTTTTTCTTTTTCTTTTTCGTGATTCTTCTCTCAACCATGGGCTAGATACTGGGTTACCAACTGGGCTGCGCGGGTCACCTTGGTTGCCCGGGCGGCCTGGCTGGGCAAGGGCCAGGGAAGGTCCCCACAAGAAAAAAAAAGAAAATCTAAAACATTGGAAAAAACTATGTTGTGCAGAATATTAGTTGTAGTTGTAACTGTGGTAGGTTGTGATATAAGACATGCATGCAATCAATTCACAATTTCACACCAATCGCATATGTCAAAGCACACTGCATTGAGCCTCACTGGTCGTCACCTTGAGCACACACACACACACATTGCGAGATCTCACGATATCCACTGGAGACCAGAGATGCGAAGTCCGGAATAGCGCAGCTTAGAAATTCCAACAAATTATCATATTAAACAGTTTCAGAGTTCAGTCACCAGGCGCTCAACAGCGCAGAGTTCAGCAACCCATATCCAGCATCCTCATCCAGGTAGCTGACTCTCTTCCCTCTCTGTCCCTTTCCTCTCTCTCTGCCCTCCTCATGCATGCACCCAATCTCCCCCTCTCACTCTCTCTACTTGAAGATCTTGACTCTGAATACATCCGCTGCTACTCAGGTCTATCCCCTATTACTAGCTATGCGGCTATGGCCGCCTTCCCTCTCAGCACAGCGCTGCCCAGCCAGTGCTCTCGCGCATGCCACTTGCAGATAGCGCACAAGCGCTCCAGCAGCACTTCCACACTTCTCATGAATGAGCAATCTGCCTGAAATGTGGCTGGCCAGTCCTTATATTGACTTGGACTGAGTCTGGATTCGTCCCAGCCTCTGCTTCCTTTGGCTCGACTTGGATCTGGTACCACATGCGCACGGCCTGTTTGCTTCAGAATGTCGACGCCTGGTACCTCCACAAATTTTCCGTGGTGTGCTGCTGCTTGGGCCTGTGAGTCATGACTTTTCATCTGTGGGAGATGCCCCTTCGTCTTATGAGACGTGACCTTTGCCTGTAGAATATGCCTTTTGACTTTGAGACATGACTTTTGCCTGTTGGTCGTGACCCTTGCCTGTGGAATATGACTTTTGGCTGCGAGATGTGACCTGTTGGATTGGACCCCCCAACGCAACCTTTCTGAAACAGGCCAACAATGCCTTCTTTGGCCTGAGGACTTCGACCCTGAGATCAGATCTGCATCCTGGAATGCCTTTTACTCTTGCCGGCTAACTTCTGAGGTCCTCCGAAAAAGTCACAATCTTTATCTGGCAACTATATTGATTCCTTTTCTAGCGCTCTCGTAGTAAGACACTATGTGCGGTGCTGTCTCAATTAGTTCATCTCTAGTAAACCAACGATCTTCCGAAGGCTCTTGATAAGTGAATCTGACCTTATATTGTCGCTGGGGTCGACCCCTGGGTCCAGATCTATAAACGTCCTCTGCAACGATGCGATCCATGTCATACTTGCCATCCATATCGGGAGGAATCATAGATCTTGGAGACAGAAACAGCTCATTGGTGACACAAGGGAGCAACTTTGAGGCATGAAACACCGGGTAAGTGTGCAGATGCGGAGGAATCTCAACAACGTAGGAAGGACCATCCACATCACCAATCACATAAAGTATTTGACACGGTCCCCTCTATGCAGGCAACACCTTTTGCGAGATGTTCTCCTCAGGGAGAAACTCTTTAGACTTCGCCCAGACCAAATCCCCTACAGCAAACTGCGAAGGTCTGTGGTGCTTATTTGCCTTCTCTATCATCTGATGCTGTGCCTTTCTTATGTTTTCTCTAACTTTCTCCAGGTCTTTCTCATACTGCACAGCGAACCCTCTAGTCCTTGGAGGAAACCTTTGTAGCTGGTCAGGGTTCAGACAGTCGACGGGCCCGCGTGGGCGCCAACCTAAATGCAGTTCAGTGGGTGTTCTCGCTGTAGCCAAATGCACAGAATTGTTGTAGGCACTAGCGACCTTGGCCAGATGTTCATCCCAGTCAATCTGATCTGGCCAGTTATACATACGCAGAACTTGCTGTAGCACTTTGTTCATTTGCTCAGTCTGTCCGTTTGTCTCAGGGTGTCTACCTGAGGACATAGTCAGTTTGGATCCATAGACGTTTGTGAGCTGTTGTCAGTGCTCGCCCATGAATCGTGTATCCCTATCACTTACAATAGTCAAGAGATGCCTGTAGTCTTTCACCCAATGACTAAGAACTCCCGAATTCACCCAATGTATGCTGAAACTATAGACACAGTGAACTTGCTGAATCTATCTAGAATAACCATAACTTGGCTCTTCCCAATCCGACTCTTCACCTTAGTGATAAAGTCTATAGACACAGAGTCTTCTCTCTCTCTCTCTCTCTCTCTCTCTCTCTCTCTCTCTCTCTCTCTCTCTCTCTCTCTCT